AAAAAAAAAAAAAGATCCTAAGACCTAATTCAGAGCATTTAAAAGCTATTAGCTTTCCCAATCTACCCTCTAATAAAAAATTTTCTCCCCACTTAATTGCAAACGTGGGCATATTTAATTCTCAAGCCACTTCTGTATAAAAGCAGAAATCACCTATATTAAAAAAAAAATACTGATTTATATCTTTCCTGGTAGTTGAGGAGACAAGTTAAATAAGTGCTATAGTTTAGATGATGCTCTTTTTCCCATGGGAAGTTGAAATAAAGTTATTTACATTATTGGATATAATTAGAGTAGAATAAAACAATCAATCTGTAGAACTTTTACAGACAACTCTATGTTATATTATAAAATTTACAGGCAAACTACATGTGTGTGTTTGGTGTGTGTGTATATTCATACATACGTATATATAAAAGCATTAGTAACTTCTGTATACTAACCGTGTGAAATTCTTAGATAGTATAACATGATCTTTCTATAAAAAGCATCCTCTTCTATTAAACAAAACTCTTAAAAAAAAAAAAAAAGGGCCATGAAAGAAACTGGTAAAACTGAGCACTAAATCGATAAAAGCTAAGCACATGTATCTGTACATACATATAGCCTCAATTACTTAGGAACCAAATGACTTTGGCAACTCCCGGACGAAGGATATGGGTAAGGTAAAGGGGGAAAAAAAAGCAGTACTAAATAAATACCATTCAGATTTATTATATTTTAAATATAAACAGTCTAAAAATAATGCCTACAACTTTTTGAGTCATGTTCAATTTTAATTCTTTTAGGATAGATATTTCCAACCAACACAGATAAGGAAGGGATGTCTATCTACTACCATTACTGAAAAGGAAGAAAGCCCTGACTGTGGCTTCCGGCACAATAAAAGCTTTAAGATATAAAGTATATTCTTGTAATTAGAAGAAAAATGAGAGTATGAACTTTTCATAAATGATATGTCCATTTCTTCCCTCAAGCTTTATTAGTATTGAGTTTCAGCACCTGTACCTATTTCATTATTTCTACCTTTGTCAAAATCTCCATGTTTATTCTTGTTTTTACTGTTTTTGCTATCAACAAGTTATAAGTTATCTCAACTTACCTTCCAAAGTTTTCCTCCACTGATTCAAAATATAGACTTTCTTAACTCTATTTTAACAGTAACTCCTGGATTTATGTTACCTTCCTTCATAAACAAAGTACTTCATTCCTGGAAATCTTCTTCATTACAAATTAGGGCATGGTCTGAATTAGGTATTTCTACTACTTAGAATCTCTATCTTCTCATAATGCTTACTGGTACATTATTTTTGTCTTCACACTAATTATTACCACACACTATAAAAAATTCTGGAAGACTCAAAACTGCCAATAATCACAATGTAATTATCTGAAGTATAAGTTTAAAAACAAGGACATGGAACAATAGTAATGACCACTTGTCTTTGAATGGGTTAAAAAAAGCTGTGAAGTTATCCTTTTCTGCGGGGATTGAGTAAGCTACTGATTTCTACTTAGAAAGCAAACAAGTCCAACCTTCATCTTCCTTTTTATAAATAGATTATCTTAAGGAAGGCAAAAGTCACTAATCTGTGTGTATCATCAGTGGCTAGGGACCACTGAGTTACAGCAAACAAACATTTACTACTACAATTATAATGTACAAAATGGATTCCCAATTTTTCCTTAAGGGGAGGGTGGGGAGGGGCAGAGTGAGAGGGAAAGAGAATCTTAAGCAGGTTCCATGCCCAGTGCAGAGCCTGATCTCACAATCCTGAGATCATGACCTGAGGCTAAATCAAGAGTCGGATGCTTAACCCACTGAGCCACCCAGGTGCTCCTAGATCCCCAAGTTTTAAAGTTACATATTACTGGGATGCCTGGGTGGCTCAGTGGGTTAAGCATCTGCCTTTGGCTCAGGTCATGATCCTGGGATTCTGGGATCAAGTCCCACATTGGGCTCCCTGCTCAGCGGGGAGCCTGCTTCTCCCTCTGCCTGCCCCTCCCCGCTGCTTGTGCGCATACTAGCTCCCTCTCCCTCTCTCATAAATAAATAAAATCTTTAAAAAAAAAATAAAAGTTACATATTACTTATACTATTATACACAAATATGCAGTTGGGTTATTGATTCATGCTCCAGTAACAAATATAAAATCAAAGAGAAACTTAAAATCAGCTGTTATTCAGAAGCTCATATGGAATGCAAAATGGAAGTAAAAAAAGGAATGAATCTATAAAACATTACCTATGGTAAGGAGTGCTAGGTTCATCTATTTTCATTAAACCATAGTCTTTGTCTGCTGGATGATATGTCGCCAGGATGTTCATTTCATCCCACTTCTGGGATTTTTTACTAAAATTAAAAAGAAAAAAAATTTCCTCAGTGAAGTAAAAGATAAAAAAGGTGCACATCTAAAACTGACAAACATCCAAATCCCACATTTCAACTTCTATTTGACTGCTACCTTCTATTTTTACATATACTTTCTCGGAATAGAAACAGACATAGGGTAAAAGCCATAAGTAATTACAATAAAATAAAATATTTTATAGAATACTTAGTACCCACATATTAAAAACACACTATTCAAAAGCTTCACCAGATATTCAAGACACTATTATATTATGACATGCTTAGGCTTCATCTGGCCTATAGAAGATTCCCCCGTGCCTTCCTGCAGTTATGAGTTCTGTTGCCTACTGTGGACCTCAGGTTGGAGAGGGGCTACTGCCCCAACGCAGCCTGGAGACCTCCAGGCTGGAGGGCAAGCAGGGAGGTAAGTAGGAGCTGGGGTGGAAAGCAACTCTGAGGGGGCCACCCCTGCCCAGCCCAGCGTTGCCCCACTTGGGGCTGTGAAGCCGGACAAGGAGAAGCTGGAGCAAAACCCTGAGTAATCCCAGGACATCAAAGCTCTGCAGAAAGACCTGGAACAATGTGCCAAGCTCCTAAAGCAGAAGAGGACCACCCTGGGATATACTCAGGCTAATGTGGGGCTCACCCTGGGGGTTTCTCTTTGGGAAGGTGTTTAGCCAAACCACGATCTGCCATTTTGAGGCTCTGCAGCTCAGTTTCAAGAACATGTGTAAGCTGCAGAAGTGGGTGGGAGAAGCTGACAACAACAAAAATCTACAGGAGATATGCAAAGCAGAGACCCTTGTGCAGGCCCGAAAGAGAAAGTGAACAAGTACCAAACAAGGATCGAGAACCAAGAACCGAGTGAGAGGCAACCTGGAAAACACGTGATGTGCCTGCAGTGCCAGAAACCCACCCTGCGGCCGATCCGCCACACTGCCCAGCAGCTTGGGCTTGAGAAGGATGTGTCCTGAGCATGGTTCTGCCATCGCTGGCAGAAGGGCAAATGATGAAGCAGTGACTCTTAGCGAGGAGAGGATTCTGAGGCTGCTGGGTCCCCTTTCTCAGAGCACGAGTATCCTTTCCTCTGGCACCAGGACCCCATTTTGGTACCCCAGGCTACGGGGGCCCTCACTTCACTACGCTGTACTCCTCAGTCCCTCTCTCTGAGGGTGAAGCCTTCCCCCTCTGTGTCTGTCACCACTCTGCACTCTCCCATGCATTCAAACTGAGATGCCAACCCTCCCCAGGAATGGTGGCCAGAGGAAGGGGGAGAGCTAGGCAAAGAGAACCCGGGGTTCGTACCAGGATTTTGGGATTAAGTTCTTCATTAAGAAAGGATTTAGGAATGCAAAGGGTGTGGGGGCAGGGAATTTGGGGGGAACTGGTTGGAGGGAAGGTGAAGTTCAAGGATGCTCTTGTTTTTAATCCCCACATCACTCATCACTTTCTTAAATAAAGAGGCCTGGGACACACAAAAAAATAAAATTAAAAAAAAAAAACAACAATGAATACCTCCTTGGCCTAATTTTTTAGAGATATCCAAAACAATCAAAAGAATTAGAACATAAAACTACAGGGAATACCTCACTAAACTTTATTTCCATTAATAAAGATTTGGGTTGCAAACAAAATTATAGTTCAGCCGTTTTTTTAAAATCTAGAAAAATAAGAGTTTGCTAAGAAATGGTATATTCAGGGTACTTTAGATAAATCTACTTAAAAAAAAATAAAGTGTTTTATGAACATCCGTAGTAATATCCATTCAACAAAATATTTACACAACTTTTAAGGTGCTAAATAATTAGATGACTTAATTACAAACTCTTTGGATCTACTCATTATTGCCACCCAACAATATTTTGTTACATATACAATTTGTGCCTTGGTTATATACTTGAAAATAAAACTGTAAAAATCAATGTAGATTTTACATAGATTCAAATCTTTTCTGCACTTGCACACATTGGTGAGGTTTTACTGTAGATATTCTTAATTTTCCTAAACCTACCAACACCCAGATTCTGAAATGTTCTAGAAAAATGACATTCTTAAACTTTAATATCATATTCCCTTCTCCATGCCCTGAGTCACCTTTAAACTATATGTGCCTGCTCAGGGCAGGCGAGCCTGACTTTTATGTTCTCTTGCTTTCTTCTCCAAATCACCCTATTTCAGACTAAGCACTTTTTTCTTCTTCATATTTTAGTAGAAAAATCTGTATAAAATTCACCATTTTAAACATTTTTAAGTGTACAGTTCTGCAGCATTAAGTACATTCGCATTGTTGTGAAACCACCACCACCATCCATCTTCAGAACTTTTCCATCTTCCCCAACTGAAACTCTACCCACTGAACACTAACTCCCCAACCTCCCCTCTCCCAACCCAGGCAACCACCATTCCATTTTGTCTCTGAATTTAACTACTTTGGGTACCTCACATAAATAGACTCACACAGTATTTGTTCTTTTGTGACTGGCTTACTTCACTTAATGTCTTCAAGGTTCATCTATGTGGTGGCATATATCAAAATTTTCTTCCTTTTTAAAGCTGATTAATGTTCCACTACAGACTAAGTACCTGGACTACAACTTCAAGCTGCTTATCCTTTGTTTTATCAAGAGACAAAAGTTGGTCCAGACATACTCCACAAGTGACTGAAACAACAACTCCCATTTTCCCCCTAAAAGCAGTCAGAAGTTACCTAATGTCTCCTCACCATGAAACAGTCAAAATCTTAAAAGCTTGTTAAGAAGCTAAAAATTAAGACATATTGGTCATTAACTGAAGCACAGAAACAATATTTCTTCTTCAAAGAGCTGCTTTTTTTAATTCAGCATGGAATGTACCTGAACTTTCTTTTTTTTTTTTTTTTTTTTAAAGATTTTATTTATTCATTTGAGACACAGAGATACAGAGAGAGAGAGAGAGCATGAGCAGTGGGAGAGGCAGAGGGAGAGGAAGAAGCAGACTCC